AATATTTGAAGACAGAGGGAGGGAGGGAGAGAGAGAGAGAGAGAGAGAAAGAAAGAGAGAGATATATATATAAGAAAGGGAGACAATGACAGAAAGTGAGAGGATGAAAAGAAAAGGGCAGAGAGGGGGACAGAAAGGATGGGAGCATGGGAGGGTAGAGGTGCGGACGAAAGGACAGACATACGGAAAGACTACTGGAGAGAGACAAAATATACGAAATATGAGAAGAAACGAAGGGGAGGAGGGTACCAAAGACACACACAAATATAAAAAGAGAGATAGACGTCTCCAGAGCAGAGAGAGAGAGAGAGAGAGAGAGAGAGAGAGAGAGAGAGAGAGAGAGAGAGAGAGAGAGAGAGAGAGAGTGAGATACCGTGAACTCCACCTATCCGCAGTGTAGCGGGGCGATCATATTATAGCAGACCCGAGCTGTTCACGTACTCACTTCTCATTTCTTTCAGGAACCGAATCTTGTTATTCGGCAACACTTTATGTATGCAGATATTTTCTAACCTTTAAACAATTTAGTAATATAGGTTGGGATAAAATACATATGCAAACAGGAATTTACTAAACTAAAAGTAGTAAGAATAATTATATTCAGTCATATCGAATCTCTGAAGAATTAACTGCCGTCAAAATATAGTAACCTGTCAACCATACTGGACCATACTGGATACACAATTTGCCTGACATTTTAAACAGTTTGAGATAATTTTCATAAACACATTGCGGTTTTTTCCCAGTCAGTAGTGTAGCGGTTAGGCGTTTTACTGTCGCACGCAGGAGACCCGAGTTCTCTTCCCGAGTAGGGGCAAATTGTTAAGTGTCTCGGTCTTTCTGCTGGGATGTGTCTCTCTCAGCCTGTGTTGGCTCAGACGGATGTCATCGAAAGTCCGTCTACTGAACTAGTTTTAGAAAGAATTTTACGGCACTTGCAGCACAATAAGGTCACATAAGTGCCGAACATAAGAGGTGTTACAAGAGAATAACAAACATAAAAAAGAAGGAGGAGAGATAGAGACGATAGTTGATTGATAGGAAAGAAGAAGCCAATCACACCAGAGCACCCGCCACCCACTCACGTCTACTAAATTATCTATATTGAGTTAGTACGGGTGTAAAACACTTCACACAAATAGTAAGAATTTCCTTTTCCCCCACAACCTCCCTGCCTCTGAATTCTTTCTGTGAAACAGCTCATAACACCCAAATCTCATTGCATGAGTTTCGGATCTATGTAGAATACTGATTCCTGAAATGGTATCCGGATTTGAGAGGGAGGACGAGTGTTGGATGAATGCTCCGGTTCACCGAATTTTTAACTTGGATTGAAATTAAAGCAAGAATATTGATCATCATTAATTTATACCACCAGAGTGTTGGATGAATGGTCCGGTTAACCGAATTTTTAACTTGGATTGTGATTCAAGCAAGAATATTGATCATCATTAATTTATTCCATGGATTGCTCACCACCAGCGGAGAGCAAAAGGCACGAGTGAGAAACGACAGTAACAGTAACAAGCACGTACTCACAAACCGGTGCACACAAATCTTTCTTCCCAACACGGAAGACTAAGTACTACTAATAGTATAGGGTTTTACGGCGCTCGCAACTGCGTAAGGTCATATGAGCGCGCGAACGGACGACTAAGACGTATTGCTGTTGAGCGTACTTTATTTTCTGTGGCAGGAAGAAAGGTAAGATTTTTGTTGCAGATTTTGTTGGTATTTTAAAAAAATAGTTATTGTTTTACTTAGTTTTGCTTGTTTGTTTTATGTAATAATAAGACATATTTTTTTTTTTTTAATGTTTAATTCTTAATCGTCCACAGAAATAAAAAGGAGAACTGCAATGGCTGAGGCTAGTTTCAATAAAATGAGCCCAATCCTGAAAAATAGAAACATCTCAATGAACACCAAAATGAAAGTCATGAAATGTTATGTTTGGTCAACCCTTCTATGTGGCTGTGAAGGCTGGACAATCACTAAAGACAGTGAAAATAAAATAGAGGCAACAGAAATGTGGTTTCTTAGGAGACTGCTAAGAGTATCGTGGAAGGAAAAGAAATCAAATGAGGGCTCTTACTCTAAGGAAATAACTAATCTTTGACGGCCATTTTCTCACTAATTGAAAACAGGTGACCCCCACCTCCTTCATTCGCAAATATCTCGACTTGTATTCAAGATAAATGGATGTTTTTTTCTTTCAAATAAAGACAAGTGAACAAGCTTGAAGATGATACCCATAACTTTACATGCCCAAAAATTGACGAGAGCCTGATTCCACCATGCTGCCTCACAAATGCAGTTTTTGGGACACCTGAATAGACAAAAGGGCCTTGAACATCTAGCTCTCACTGGCAAAATTGAGGGCAAGCGAGGCAGGGGTACTCCCAGAACAACATGCTTAGGGAACCTAAACAAATGGGTAACAGGAAAAGATCAGGGAAACGTAGTAGCTTTTTTGAGAGCATCCGAGCAAAGGAATGAATGGAAAACCATGATCGCCGATGTCTGTCGCCGATCTGGCACTGGATGATGATGATGATGATGGCTTTTACTTTTTCATCCTCTGTTGCCGTTAAGCGTCGAGGGGAGATGCAGTTTTCTATGGTAGGCCAGCTCCGCAGCTCTTTCAGTTGTGATGTTATGTAACGGAAGTACGACTTCAAATAAACAAACCTGGCTGATTTTCTAAAATTACAGAGACAGAAGCGTCGGCCTGCAAAAGCGATCGGCGAAATAAAGAAATTTAACTTTTGGAAGCAAAACTGTTCCAAAACTAAAAAAAACCAAGGGCGTCCTAATTTGGAAAATATTTTAAAGAATCTTTTGGCGAAAACTGCATGTCGATCGATGCAGCCTTTAAAGAGCCTTTTGATTAGCAAAATTCTGCCACCACAAATGGATAATAGAAAAGAGTCTCTACGGGGTGGAATCAGGCGCTCATCAATTTTAGGGCATATGGAGTTATTGGTATCATCTTAAAGTTTGTCCATTTGCCTTGCTTTTGATGGAAAATTTATTTATCTTTTGTATAAGTCAAGATATTGACGACTGAAGGAGGTGGTTGTCACCTTGTTTCAGAGGTAAAATTAGTGAGAAAATGTCCGCCAAAGTTGCGTTAACTCCTTAGCTTGAGAGTCCATGGAAACTGAAAATGTCTTTTATGCCTTCAGTCAGCGTTTTTCCAGTAAAATTCACACCTACATTTGTTCTTTAATGGGCATGAAAAATGTTGAGACAAAAAAACCCTTAAAAATTATTTTAAAATTCCAAAACCTGCGGGAATGTGCTCGTTTCTTCACTTTCATTATTTTGACGAGCGTCTGATTTCACCATGCTGCCTCACAAAATATCATAAGCAGTTTTTTAAATTTTGCAGGAGAGCCAAAAAGCTGAATGTTGGTACAAAGAAAACAAACTCTTTGCAAACATTCCAAGTCGATATTTTTAAGAGCACAGTCGCGATAACGACTTTTTTGTTTGTAAAACAAATTAATGGTAACAGCATCAATTTTTAATCTCTCCGGCAAAACTGTAAAAACCTATAAAAACAAACTCTTTGCAAAAATCCTAAGTCAATATTTTTAAGAATACAGTCTCGATAATGACTTTCTTGTTTGTAAAACAAATTAATGGTAAAGGCATCAATTTTTTTGTCTCTCCTGCAAAGCAGTAAACCCTGTATTATACTAAATTATTAAAAATGACGACAGCATTTTAGAAGTTTGTTTTGTAAGTTTCCATGTTTCCGATCCATAATTTCCAATCACTCTTTTCGACTTTATGACTCAACCGATAGTAAGCAGAAACAAGAAAGGTGACAATATACATCCCTGTTTCAAGCATGTTATTTATTATGTGTATTTGAAAGCTGATGGTCAACTGATCTTCGAGAACAAATCTGCAGCTTGTATCTGTGTGGTATTCATTTGATTGGTCTTACTAGTTTTTCCGTAATGCCACATTGTTAGAGAATTTTCCATAAGTTGTCACGGTGGTGGATGCTGTCGAATGCTTTTTCGTAGTCCTTAAAATTCATTAGAAGTGATTTGTTCCATTCTAGTGACAAGTGACTGTTTAGCTATAATCCTTAGAGTCGAAATCTGCTTGTTTGTGTTAATCACTCAAGCACAAACTCACACACGCTCATACATAAACACGCAAATTGTCTGTCTGCATCTTAAGTGTCTAATGTATACACAAACACACACACAAACAAACACACACAAACACACACACACACACATATATATATA